CTTGTCCCTTCTCCTTCCCCTTTCTTCTTGTCTCTTGGAATCCCGTGACTTGTTTTAAATGATGGCTAAAATCGGTGTCTTGGATTCATGTGGGGTTGCTGTTTTTCGTGCCTTTGCCTCTTGGATTTCCGGCCGGCTGCTGGTTTCCCGAGCCTGGGTTCTTTCCCGTGGCCTTTTGCGCCTGGTTCCGTGCAGTTCTTTGGATCCCGTGGCCTCTCCTTCGGTTCCTGGGCTTGGGCTGTTTCCCGTGAATGAATGGGGGGTTTCCATGCTAGTGATGCTTGGAATTCTGTGAAAATTCATAAAGAGAGACTATTGGCATTCCCCTATCTTGCCTATAAATATGAGAAGTTGTTGTAAAGGAATGGAGTTGATTATTGTGAGCAAAATTACTATTGATTTGTCCACCTTCTTTCTCATCCCCTCCGGAAATCTTGCAAGCTCTTTCCAACCTTTCATCTCGGTTTCTAACCTCTTTCGTCTCTCCGCAAGTACCACTCCATCTGTATCCTTCTTCTCAAAAGTGAAGCAACTTTGGAGTGTCGTATCTTGGTTGATTTGGAAGCATTTGTTGGGGAAATTGAACAATCTTGCAGTGGTGGACCATCGGTTTGCTAGTTCTATGCACTTATTTATTTAACCTACATTTCGATGCATGTGAGGAACCCGCTCTGACGGTTGTCTGAGGATAGCGTTGTTTTTTACTTTCTTTGTTTCTTTAAAAACTCTTAGTATTTTCTTGTTGGATTTTGAATGTTTTAGTTGATTATTACTTTTTAATAGAACTTGGTTTCATTTCTATCCATTTTTCTCTTTGTGTCGGTTTTCTTGCTTGTGTGTCTACATCATATTTACACCCTATCACCCAATTGGTTTACTTCCTATGAGGGATGTACAACAAATGATAGATTGTTTCAAGAGCTGTAATTCCACATTGGCTAGTATACTGAACACATCCCAAAGAATATGAAAAATTGCAACATCAAGTGAAAGAATTCCTTCCTAAATGCCTAATTAATAAGGGTGTCATTCCATGCACTATACCCACTTTACTAGTCCTAAAGAAAGGCAACATGTGATAAATGTGTATTGATAGTCGAACAATAAATAATATTACAAGAAAAATTTGAATCATAATTCCTTGATTAGACAATATGTTTAATCAAATACACAGTGCCTCTTAAATCCAAAATTCACTTGTGTAATGGGTACCATCAGATACTCATGGAGATGGGAGACAAAGGGAAGACTACATTTAAGACATGAGATGGATTATACAAAAGGACGGAGATGCATTAGGCCGTACCAAAGCACCCAACACCCTTATGCATTTTACAACTCAAATTTGTCGGCCATTCTTTCGCAAGTTCATCGTAGTATACTTTGATGACATCATGGTTTATCTTTGTACCTTAGGAGCTTGTAAACCCAAGGAATCCTTCTGTTTTCTTGAATCAACAAGTGCTTTCATCAGGTTCTCTATTGTCTAATTGTGCTTGTTTAATTCTTTTTCTTTGTTCATCATTGATCTAGCCTTTTCTCTTCTTGAGTTAAATTGCAGGTTGTTAGAATTCCAGCAAAAACTTCTTTTCAGCCCACTTTTGGAAGATGGGCAGAAGTTACACCAATTGGAGGAGGAGAGGGGAGGAATCGGTCAGGTAGCAAGTGACAAGTGACAAGTGACAAGTGACGGGAAACATCAAATCAGAGGTGCAGCAGTTACGAGCACTTCCCTGCATCCTTCTTTTGGCCTGATCTGGTGAAGAACAACAAGGAAAAAGGAATTCTTGTGGTTGTTTGTTATTTCATGTAATTTATGTAATCTTTTCTTCTCCATTCCTTTTAATTAGCTGGTAGTTTGCTTAAGGTTCCTGAAGTTCTAGTATTGCAGAAGTTATCAATTTTTTATCCCACCTATCAATGTCACATTGCTTGATCACTTGATTACTTGATTACAGTTATCTCCAAAAATACTTATGAAAAAGGTGAATTCAACAAGCAACTCAGCTAAAAGAGCATTCATAAATGAACTGGAAAGAACGTAGACATTACTTCTTGATAATGAAACTCTAACTTTGGCCAGAAAATTGTCTCATGCTGAAGTCATGGGTTCCACTAATAAAGAGGGTTTGCAGCTTAAGAAATTGAAAAAACAAGGAGAACAGGAGTATTTATTTCCTTCTTGGCAAAAGATGAAAGTGTGAACGGTAAAAAAAGGTTCTTCCTCAATGACATTCAAACGCAAGTATAAAGGCTGCGCAGCAATTCATAAACTTATCCAAACAAAAGATACATGTTGCTGTATAAAACTATAACATAACCGGAAACATTCAGTTAACCACATATACTACTCTTACTCTAGCAGTATAGCAAATGATGCACTCCACCTCAAAAAAGCTAAGACCAAACTTAGAGGCAATTGGGTTTGCTGACAAATTACATGCAAAATTATTCTAGTAGCATATAAGGCTTGTTTGTTTCTGCGCCATCTCAATATTGCAACTAAAGATAATTGTAATCTAGGAAACAGGCAAACAATCTAGATCCTAGCTTCTAGATATCTCGACGAAAAAGGAACCAAAAATAAAAATCAAAAGATAAACAACTGCTGATCATTCATGTTGGCTTGTATTTTATAGATCTAATCGCGGACCGAACATATAATTATTGGTAGGTTGCACTTAAATGCAACTACTACTCTAATCGAGATAACAACATTTTTCAAATAATATTGAACTAAAGTATCGGCCTTCCAATAACCTAGTTAGGAGATTAGGTGTATTATATCCGAAATATGTTAAGAAAGATAGAGGCAAACCTAAAAAGACTTGGTTAAAAAGTATTAGAAATACCATTGTTTATTATATTTAAATGAGAATTTGACTCTTAATAGGACACAATAAAGAAAAATGATTCATGTAGCCCCCCCCCCCCAAACAGTGGGATAAATGATTGATGTTGTTGTTTTGGATTTTTTTTAACCACAACAGCCAAGTGAGATACACTAGATTATTGTATTTTTTTGGGATGTTCCTAGGGGATCCACGGACCCTGATATACTAAACCAAGTCAAGATGGTTCTTCTGAAATTGGATAAATTAATTGAATTCGCCATAAGATCTGAAAACTGAGAATAAAAGCAGCTTCAAGTTTCATAACTATGGTAATAAAAATCTAGAGATAAAATGCAGAGGCTTCCAGAAATGTAGGTTCTTGAGAGGAGCTCACATGCCCTACCCGACCCCTGCTTTGCATATAGGCTTTTTCCTAGCCACAAATCCGTAACCTCCAGATAACAAAAATTGTACAAATTAAAGTAAGAAGTTAAAAAAGTTCAGTTTGTGGATTCTGGAGACAAAATTATATAAATAGATTTATCTGCATAAGAGCGATATTTTTTATTATTGCCAAGCAATACCTAGCAATACCGAGCAATACCTAGAAATATCGAGCAATACGCGAGCATAGCAATCCCGGGTCAAGTCGTCGGGCCGCGTGGTATTGATTAAGACCACGTGGCGACATGTTATTGGCGTCCGAACGTATAGCTACGTCAGGTCACCTGACCTAATAATTGTTCCCAATAATTGTTCCATGTGTTGAGGTACTAACCTGGCCCAAGAATATTTGGGCGGTATAAAACTGAAAGTGCAAAACTGCCCATATGAATGAGCTTAAATTCCCTCCTGCATAGGGCTAACTTTAGCAATTTGTTCTTATCATAAGGACATAATCGTCAATTGAGATTTCGGATAGTATATATATATAGCAGCTTATAAAATGATCATATGATAACTAATATGGCTCAATGTAAGAGCAGCAAAATTAGATAGTGTGAAAATATGAGTCCATTCTAATCGCGTCTACTCGTCATATTAAATTATCATATTTTTTATAAGAATAAAATTAAAATAAGTTTAAAATTGTATAATAAAAATAATTTTAAAATGAAAATGAGTGCATAAATATGAGTGTACAAAATCAGTTTAAAATAATTGTTGCGGGCTAGAATATACACGGCGATAGAGTTAAGAATTTTCGTGTCAGCATTTATGCATATCCTGCACACAAACAGAAGAAAAATGTAACATCATAATTTTTATATGAAAAACTCTGGAAAAGGGAAAAGCCACGGGTTCACACCCAGTTGAAATGATTCCACTAGTGTTTGATTAAACTACAAGTGGCTGACTCGTCCTTGAAATTGAGGATGATCAGAGTATAACAATCAACCTTCGGGTTGAAATAAAGTAACAAGAGGAGATTATAAATCCGGCGACGTTTAGCTGTCAGGCAGAAATTCGGCTTCAATTGACGGTCTAACGAGAAAAATCTGGCGCACACAACAAAAATAAATATGAATACGAGCGTAAAAAATTATGTTCAAAATTATTAGCTTTTGCTAAAAATTGCTCAAACTTATTAATTATTTTAACAACTTAGAATTCGTCTAAATTGGGCTAAATGTTCAATAAATACTGAGCGCCGGCTGACTATTTCGTTATGTTTGTAGTATCGATAAAACCAAATAACTGAAACGGGTAATATACAGGGCGGATTATCCAACTCACTGTGATGATTATCCTAAAAAATTATCTAAAAAAAAATATTAATTCCGATAGCGTGCTGCTGTCACGTGATTGGCTGGAGGGTACAGGAACCGAGTCTGAATCGGAGTTCTTCCAAAATAAAACAAAATAATAACAAGAGTCAGAATCAGAGCCGAAGCTGGCGGATCGGCATCGGTTGGTTGCTCTCATTTTTTATGCGTTCACTGCACACAATTCTACCCACCAAAGAAAACAAAAGGGTAAGTATATCAGAGAAGCTGAGGGCGGAAGGCAAATGGAAAACGATACGGAAACTACCATTATCGCTGTTATTGATTTATCTTATAATTGATTTCTTTTATTCGCCTCCCTATTTTATTTCATCTACTTCGCGCTTCGTATGAGAAGAGTTTTTTTTTTTTTTGCTTTCAACGGAGAGAGAGAGAGAGAGAGAGAGAGAGAGAGAGAGAGATGGCTTTTCAGAGGAGGCGGCACCACGAGAGAATGGTGACGGCGGCGAGAATGTCTGGGATGACGGCGATATCGGCTGCGGCGTTGTTTATATTCATGGTATTGGCATTCCTGACGGTGCTGGCGCCGCCGCTTGTGGACCAGCCGGCGTTTCCCAACCCGCCGGAGCACTCGCGGAGGGCGAGGCGCTCCTCGATGCTGGTAATTAAGAATGGCTTATTATTTTCGGTCCTTTTTCTTTGGGTCGATGCCATGATGATTGTTTGTGGTTGTATTTGATGCCTACGCAGCTGGAGAATCCTATGGAGATGAAGGGGAAGGTGTCGGGTGGCGAGATTTTTCGCGTGCCGGTTTGTCCTTTTCATCCGTTTCTTCTGGGTTTGATTTGGTGGGAATCCTGTGTTGTTTGGGATCTTGGATGATTAATCAGGATTTGGATTGCAGAACGGAGGCGATATGCAGGGGAGTGATATCTGGGAATCGAAAGGATCGAGATACTTCTATGGGTGTAGCAATGCGAGCAAGGAGTTTGAGAGTAAGTGCTAGTTCTTCACTTCTTGTTATAATTCCTGTTTCCGCGCGCTGTGTTTGAGTTGGGAATCCGATGGTTCCTTCCGGATTTGCTGATGGTTTAAGAATCTCCTCCGGAGGATTGCATTGGAGTCTATTCGATTCTTTGAAATTTGATGTTGCCCATCTCTACTTTCCCACATTGGAAGGATTTAAATTCGATATGTTTTTTTCTTTATTGCCCTCGTGGTTTTACCCAACTTTCATGCTTTCTTTCGAACTTTTGTTATAACCATTGTTCTGGCAATCTTTAGAGCTATGCTGAATTTCACATGGCTTCCTTGTTCGCAGAAGCTGATGCGATCATTTATCCGGATAGGTATCTGATGATTTCAACAAGTGGCGGGTTAAACCAACAGAGAACAGGGGTGAGTTTATTCTTGTTCGTTCTGACAAAGATTTTTTTGGTGATTTTTTTTAAAAAATTTTTATTAGCCTTTCATTTTTTCTGACAAAATTCACTTCTCCATATAATTTTTTGCATTGAGATTTATTTTTTATTTTTTTTAGAATGAGTTGTGTGTATATATGTCTACCTATATCTAGCTTTCAATCGTTGATGTGACAGCATTAACATAGTAAAAAAATTGGGGAAAATTATATAAATTTTTCGGGACATAAATTGGGTGAGATTATATAAAATTTTTGATATGTTGCATGATGATCTTCTTTATGTCTTATTTATATTTGATTGAATCACTCCTCGCCTGATTCCCCGAAATTGGAACTTTTCCATGATTTTTTGGTGGCAGTTAAATTCTTCAATAATTTACCATTTTGGATGCATGTTATTGTTGTATTAGCCTTGTGTTAAAGTATTGAACCCTATTCTTGCACATTAAGTCATCAAGAAAATAGTTCGTGATTACATTCTAATTCAAGCCTTTGTATTGACTTGAATGAGATCATAATTCATGGAACGTTATCTTTTAAGTTTCTGCGAGTTTAGACTGATTGATTTAGAACTCTTGTGGCTTATTGATGGATTCAGATTACTGATGCTGTTGTTGCCGCTCGAATATTGAATGCTACCCTTGTTGTTCCTACGCTGGACCAAATGTCATTCTGGAAGGATGCAAGGTTTGCTTCAGTTTCTGCACTTTTTTAAATACTTAAAAAAAAATCGTGGAAAGAAGATTAAAGAGTAAAGTGGCTGTGAATTTGGTTTTTATATGTTCACAGCAATTTCACTGAAGTATTTGATGTTGAATGGTTCATCTCATCTCTCTCAAAAGACGTCAAGATAGTAAAAGAGCTCCCAAGCAAGGGAGGTAAAGTTATTGCTACTCCTTATAGAATGCGAGTTCCAAGGAAATGCACTCCAAGATGCTATCAAAATCGTGTTTTTCCTGCTCTTCTTAAAAAACGTGTAAGTTTCAAGTTTCTGCAAGATCTAAAACTTCATATCCCTGTTGTTTCTGTCGTGCATATACTTATATTTCTACTACTGCCATTTTGAATCTTCTTTTTCTAACTATAGTTCATATTTGTTTTTAAACCTTTTAAATAACCGATACAAATGGGTTTGAAGATGCAAGGAAATGAAAGAGTATACTAATCTATTTTCTTGTTGCTTTTTGGTATATCTGCAATTCATGAATAATGCCGTTAAAGTTTAGAATTATAATCTCTTGTTATCATTGTTTTGGTGTTATAATAATCTACAACTTGAGGAGGGCATATTTAATTACCTTTTCTCCTAAAAGATGGCCTTGGACATATCATGTTTTTTTTTTACAGATCAGTAAATCATCTTTCTGAAATCTGGCAGGTAGTTGGCACGTAGGCTAAGAACAATAAGCTCAATTGTGCTGCTAATACTTGCAAAAAAGAAAATTGTCTTATTAGTAAACTGCAACTATTGCAAGAGTTTCATTTTCAATTGCGTTCTGCTGCACTTAGGTAACATTGTATTCAAATTTATTCTTGGGTGACACCAGACCCTATTAATAAGTTTGGCTAGCTAGAGTAAGATAATAGAAAGGGGAAATCAGTGATTATGGAGAGCAGATGAAAAGCTAAGTAATCTTTATGAATATTAAAAATGACATGATGTCTAAAATATGGCTTTTAACTCCTTTATAGGAGTAAGAGTGCTAGGCTACTTTAAAAAAATAGAAAAATAATATATGATTTAAGTATATACTGACACAAACACATGGACTAGGATGAAATGTATACATATTGCCCTTTCTCTCTGATGTGGCTTGGGATGCCCATAATGAGTACCTTGAGCGAGTACTCGGGGGTGAGTGCCCTTGATAAATCCTAGAGGGTGAGTGGCTTGGATGCGTCATTCGAGATGGACATTTTTTGGCGAGTCCATGAAGGCGAGCCTCCTAGACAAGTGGCATGCCCCTCAAGGCGAGCAATGAATTTCCTAAATGACTGTAGTTGTGATGTGACAACCCAAAGTTCTTAAATAGATTTATTAAAAAATTTGCACCATGGCACTGCAACGCTGAGATTTTGAGTGCTTTGACTCCGGCGGGGGGGGGCAACTATGGGTGCGCCGCAATTTGACATCTTGGCATCAATGCTCTTCATTCTACAATAACCATGGAATCAGCATGCAGTGCTACGGTGCCGGGTTGGAGCGCTATGACGCTAGGTACTAACAAATATTTTTTAATATAAATTTCTCTCCTCGTAGCCCATTTCTCCCTCTCTCATTTGGCTTGCCAAGAAAGGAAGGGAAGAAGGGGGTAGAAGGGAAGGGGAGAAAGGAGAGAGGAAGCGAGTTTTTGGTCGCTGATTCTGGTGAGTACTTTGGATGAGTCTTCTGGGATGGGCATTTTAGGCGAGTCCATGAAGCCGAATCTCCCATACAAGTGGCAAGCCCGTTGGGGTGAGCAATGAGTTTTATAAATGAGTGTAGCTGTGATGTAACAACCTAGAGTTCTTAAATGAATTTATTTGAAAATTTTAAAAAAATTGCACCGTGGCATTGTGGCGCCGAGATTTTGAGCGCCGTGACTCTAGGGTCACCGGAATTCGTTGTCGTAGCGCCGATGCTCTATATTCTATAGTAACTATGGAATGAATATGCGGTGCTACGACGTCAGGTTGGACCACTACGGTGCAAAGTACTAAAAATATTTTTTAATATAAATTTCTTTTTCCACTTAGCCCGTTTCTTCCTCTCTCGTTTGGCTTGCCAAGAAAGGAAGGGAAGAAGGGGGTAGAAGGGAAGGGGAGTAAGGAGAGAGGAAGCAGGCTTTTGGTCGCCGATTCGTTTCACTGTTTCTTTGAAATTTCTTCAATTGTAGATGACTTCTATTCTATCTTTATTTTTAAATATTTTGATTTTGGGATTTATTCTTTTATTTAAATATATATTTATTACATTTTCTCCTAATGTAATGAATTTTCACTGTACGTACAGCTTTTGGTATATAGTAGTACCGAATATTCTGATCATTTTGATTGAATGATTTTGTGTTTTTATTGGTTAAAATATTATTTATTGTATTTTGTACAATTTGAGTAAAATAATGATTTGGGTATTTTGATATGATTATACTTTTAATGCAAGCATTGTGAATATGTACGAGCATGCGAATGAGTAATAGCTGATCATAATTACTTTTAAGATATTATGTGTGTAACAACAAGAAAGGCTGCGTTATTACCGAGACTGGTTGAAAGCTGATTTATTTATGTATAGGATGGTGGATGGCGAACTTATCTTTAAATATTGTGATGTGTGATGGTATCCTCTATTGATTCACGTGATTTATTGATTGGGGTCATAAGAAGAAATATTGTGTTGACGGGCAAGAGTGATGACTCTGATTACTTAAAGCCACCCGAGTACTTAATTATGAATATTTGCTGGTCAAACATTTCATAGGCTTGAATTTCTTACTTGTTTAATATGACTGCTTAAAACACCTCACAAGCTAGAATTTCTTAGTTGTTTAATATGACTGATTAAAAATACCACACAAGCTGGAATTCTTTTTTTAATATGTTGCTTGGACATGTACATAAGACACTGATTTATTTTTATTGATTCATTGTTAATGATTTGCTGTTACTGAGCATGTGATTGAGAGACTGATACATTATAATGCGAGCTTCATTAGGATGAATACCAGTCTATCTCTAACTTTATTCTGGTGAATGCTCCTCGGGCCGAGGCTCACCTTGGGCAAGCGTATCTCTTGACCGAGCTCCTTGAGTGTGAGCCTGCTTGGCATATGAGATATACCTATATGGGCATGTATGGACATACAGATAATTATTATCTTAACGGTCTCTAAACTTGAAATAACAACTTGCTCCAGGAAAAAGGGACCATTTTTGCTATAGGGAAATGGAGCAGATAAACTAATTGCTTGTAAATGATGAATTCTAAAAAGATAATCAAACAATTGGTGCTTTTGATAGGGATTCCATTATCGATGATAAGAGTTTTTAAATTGGTTTAGTTTCATTTATGGACTGAAGAAAAAGGGGTAGGTAGAAGTTGCAATTTAATTTGTTACTTCATCCCCCCTTCCATTCCTTCTTGCGCTCCTTGTTTCCTCCACCATTGTCTTGGGTGATGCGGGATTGCCTTTACTATTGGTTCACAAAAATTGGATGGTTTTTTTCTGATATGCATCTTCTGAAACAAATTGTACGCAACTTTATGGAACTTTGTGCGAGTGTTCCAGTTGGGGTAATAGGTAATTGGATTACAGTTCACGAAAGCAGGCTGACTCCATTTTTTTTAATCTGCTTTTTTCTTTTTGTCATTATTAGCAAGGTGTGTGAAATTCATGAAAGCCATTCGGTTATATATCAAATGAAGTTAGTTTTTCTAATTTTATGGTAATTCAAAATAAAAATTATATTCCAGAAGTGAATAAATTTTATGGCTTCAATCTACTAATCTGATCCATAAATAGTTGAAAAGATGCCAACGAAGTCTGCATGATTTTGAAATATAATTTGCAGTTTTAATATCCCTATCTAATTCATAAATAGTTAAAAAATAGCCTACTAAATTTTGATTTATTGAATTCATAAGAAGTGTCAATCAGTAAAAATGATTTATATCCTCAAAATTTCACTCGTTCCCACAACTTTTAGTGTGGATTTCCATGTTGTCATAGTGGAAGTTCCTAAAGCACTCCATTCGTATTGCTCTAGTAATTACACATGTTTACATGACAATGTAAAGGAAATATGGACATCTGTAAATCCTATATGCTAATTTCTATAAAGTTAGTCTTTTGCAATTCATACTTTTTTAGCTGGCTTATATATGATAAATGTGGAATTCACATCTGTTGCATTCTCTAGTATCAAGAAATCATCGCTATAGAGGCCAATTTTTTTTTTTCTTTTTACTATGGTGCAGGTGGTTCAGCTGACAAAGTTTGATTACAGGCTTTCAAATAAGTTGGAAAATGACCTTCAGAAACTGCGTTGTAGAGTTAACTATCATGCTCTGAGATTCACTGATCCAATACGAAAGATGGGTGAAACGTTGATAAAGAGAATGAAATCAAAGAGTAAGCATTTCATTGCTCTTCACCTTAGGTAATTATCTTCTCTTGACGGTGTCATTTTGATGCAAACCTCTGTTAATTTGAAAATGGTTTTATTCTTGTTTTATATCAAGTTTACTATTTATGATTGTAATTTTCATCAGCACTACTAATTGTATATATATTCAAAAGCACCACTAAAATGAAAAAAAAATAAAAAAATGGTGTTCTTCCATGGCTCATGATGGACGATTATTGTGACAGATTTGAACCCGACATGCTTGCCTTTTCTGGTTGCTATTATGGTGGGGGTGATAAGGAAAGATTGGAATTAGGCACCATACGGAAGAGGTGGAAAAATTTACACGTGAGTGAATAACTTTTCTTCTTGCATTCAAATATTTTACCTTATCCGTGCGACACAGCTCATCTTGACCTGTTGGTTGGGAGCTTTGACTATCAATTAAGAAGTCTTGGATTTGAGTCTTTGTGTATGAGATGTATGTATGAGTCTGCCTTAATTGGTCAAAATGTCCCCAAAAAAAAAAAAAACTTATGGGCGGGCAGTTGATTAGCTTAATCGAATTATTTGCAGGAAAGCAACCCAGATAAGGAACGCAGGCAGGGTAGGTGTCCGCTTACTCCAGAAGAGGTAGGCCTCATGCTGAGGGCATTAGGTTTTGGAAATGATGTTCACATCTATGTAGCATCTGGAGAAGTATATGGAGGGGAGGAAACACTGGCGCCTCTTAAGGCACTCTTCCCTAACTTCCATTCCAAAGACACATTAGCAAGCAAGGAGGAGCTTTCACCATTTTTGCCATTTTCATCACGCATGGCAGCTCTTGATTACATTGTCTGCGATGAAAGTGATGTATTTGTTACCAATAACAACGGCAACATGGCAAAAATGTTAGCTGGAAGAAGGTATGTTCTAAGATATTTTAGTAATTATGGACTTGAATTATGTTTGAAGATTTTGTTTGCTTTTGTGCAGGAGGTATTTTGGGCACAAAAGGACCATTCGACCTAATGCGAAAAAGCTTTACTCTCTGTGTCAGAATAGAACCAGTTTGACTTGGGATGTGTTTGCATCGAAGATCCGCACATTTCAGAAAGGATTTATGGGAGAGCCCAATGAGATTAGACCTGGAAGAGGTGAATTTCATGAAAACCCTTCAACCTGCATATGTGAAACTAAGAGCGAAGCTGGTTTTTCTGCCCAAGTCCAGCAGAGAGTGGAAATCAAAGATGGAAGGGATAATTTAAGCAGAAGTGAGGCTTTATCAGGTTCTGATGAGCAAGACTGGGGTGACTGGGATTATGGAGAAACAGTACCGGTAGGAAAAGCTTTACCCAACAGAACAGCCGTGGATTATGATCATTTTCTCAAGAATGAAGACACAGATTTGGAAGAGTTCTCTGATTAATTGAGTTCTTTTTTTTGCTTCAGCCATTCTTTCTTTTTATTTCCGAGAAATTATTAGGTTCGGACACCAGACAGAGAGAAACACCTAGATTTTTCTCTGTCTACAGGAAAAGCATAGTCAAAGCGCCGCTCTAGCAGCTGCGCTTTGAGCTGCGCTTTGACGGAGCTTTTATTGTAGACAGAGAGAAATCCGGATAATTATCTCTGTCCGATGTCCGCACCTAGTAATTTGCCTTTATTCCCAACTGTTTGCTTCTACCTAGAAAATATGCATTCGAAAATGAGGATTTCATTTTTTTTTCATTACTTGTGTGTGTGAAATGATGGAATTTAACAAATTTTGTCATTTCAGCATATTTTCTATGCAGAAGCAAGCAAATAGGTTCAAGTCAAGTCAACTTTAGCCACATAAGTAGAGCTTTGGTAAGGCAGAGGTAGATGCATAAAGGAGGAATCATGCTCAGGAGAAGGTGTGTTTCTTGCTTTCTATCACTGAAATTGTACATAAAAGCTTTGACGATAGAACTGTACAGTGTTTTGCTTCCATCTAAGTTGGATTTTAGATGATTTACTTTGTAACGCTGCAGTCCATGTGTTATTATTATTTTTTCTTTCTAAGGTTCTATTGTCAATGTATTATGGCAAGAAGTTGGTCTGGGCTCGATTGGCAGTTTTTTTTTTTTTGGAAATTTAAATAAGAACATTCTGTCCAATTTTTTTGTCCTCATAAATTTTAGCATTTTAATTCATTTAAAAATGAGCATAATATTATTTTAATTAATTATTTATATGTTATGGTTGCGGCGGAGAAATTCGCAGCGGAGAAATTACGTCCTAGTTATGCTCGAAAATTTAACACACAAATAGGAACTTAAGAATTAAGAACAAAGGGACATCAGGGTTTCTATGTGGAAAATTCTAAAAAGGGAAAAATTATGGTGCCTCGTCCAATTAAAAGGATTTTACTATTGTTCAAATTAAAAGCAGAGATTGATTTGTTCCCAAACTTAAATACAAAGAAAACATAATATGTTGAATATTTTGCCAAATCTAAATCGGTGCTTATGATCTTGAATGGATGGTGGACAAAAGAATGAAAATTTGTTGATGGTGATCAAAGAATAGGCAGAAGATCGACAAACATGAAGGAGTTTGACGATGGTTGGAATTAATGGCATGTTAGGCGTGTTCCATCAGATGACTATTAATAATTGCTTTGATTATAGAGCGTTTATCAAGTATTTATGCGCTTTAATGACATCAGAATTAAGCGATCTTGGGCTCGTTGGATTTGTCTCGTCGAGCCGCTTGATTCGACTATAAGCATGCCATATTGAATGATCATTTGATCATCTAATTAATGAATTAAACCTTTCAAATATACATTAGACCCTTGATTTGGGCCCATTTGGGTGACCCGGATTGGACCGATTTTGATGTCGTTGGATATGTCTAGCCGAGATGTTCAATTTGACTATAAACTTATTAAAATTGTAGTTCAGATGGTCCCAATTTTAATTCTTTAAAACTTTAATATTATTTTTGCATAGTTAGTCGTGCTCAATCAAGACAAACTTTTGATGACATATCAGTTACCATTATCTCAAAATAGATTTATAAATTTTTGTGAGATTTATCGTATTTATTTTTTATCAAAATAGTCGAGTATAAAAGTTTATTTTCTTGCACAGATCATTTAACAGCATAAATAGGTAAAAAAAAATTATAAATATTTAAAATTTAGCATTCTATTTAAGAAATATAACATTTATTCATCTTAAATATTGACTACAAATTTATAATTAATTCAGAAATTATTATGTTCCCATTCCATTTCTTCAATGCAAAGTGCAAACAAAACATTAGTCTTTTTCATAGACGCGAATCTATGACGACTGCAATGCATTATTACTACCATCTCAGGGGGAAAAAAAAATTCTATAGGGATTGTACCTATAGCAGTCAATGGCGGATCACCGTTCATCACTTATCAATCCCTATAATAAGAAATTTCTTTAATATCTGACCATACAATATTGCCCCCAGGAAGCGACACACCTTTCGTTTAATGAGGAGCCCGCAAATGGTAAAGTACATGCTCTGAACATAAATAAAAATATTTGATTGCGACATAATTGGCTCTTAGTTCATCTTCTTCATCTGCAAGCAATGTTCCATTATGTCGTCACGAACGGTCGAAGACATCCATCCATACATGGAATTGATCGCTATCATGATTTCAATTTTCGGAGTAGCCGTGGTTGAATTTTGATTTATATTTTGAGCTACATCAAAAGGAAAATTATCAATCGGTTTATTGTTAATTAAGGAAAATTAGTTGTATATTTGACAGTTTTGGAGTATGTGGGTCTGGAGATGTAAATGAGTCGAGCTCCAGCTTTATTTTATAAATTTGAATTTATTTATTTATTTTTAAAATTAAATATTTATTATTTAAATAATTATTATAATAAAATGATTAAAAAAAATATGTTACTTTAGAATTTTATTCTTTGTATCCAAAGAAATGATCACGAAATGCAAATTTTAATATCCAACAAGCTTAGAATTTAGAAACTGAAAAATTTTCTCCAAATCGGGTAACACAGCCAAACTTTACTAAGATCAGATAACTGAAGCATTGAAACTAAGTCCTTTGCTTTACGGGGATGAAAGCAGAATTTTCATTACAGTTTAGAATACTAAGTAATTGGATGGAGTTTTTGCTGTTTCAATAGATAATGCTTTTCTAAAAAAAAGTGATTTTTTGGCCACTGAAACAGTATGAGCATTTCTTCACAAGATCGAAAAAGGATATAAATTCAAACAAAATTGATGAAGCCCAACAACAAATTGGTGAAGAGGTGCAGCAATATGAACAGCTTTCCTTGCCTGCACTGACCTAAAATCCATTTCAGATTACACTACAAAGTGGTTCATAGATACTGTTTGAGATAGCTATCTGAAACAATTGTAAAAAAAAAAAAAGTGTTTGATTACTGTTATGAATTTTAAACTTTTGTCTTCCAGAAAATGCTGAACGTCAGCTACCACCATCTAGCAATCTGAATGTGGAAAGCTGATTCTCACCACAGTGACAGCTCCTCCAATTAAACAAAATTACTTGTGACAGAAGTGTGGTAGCGATAGGTAAGATGTAAGAAAAGTTATCTCAAATTCGGTGCTTGTTATTTTCAACTTTTCAGCTGAACCCATCCCTGCTTTTTGGTAGGTTTCAATGGGGGTGTCTCATTTGTCAATAGTTTTTCCTTTACATTTTGTTTTTTAGCTCATGGAAATCTTTATGTATTTTGGTGTAGCTCCTTTGTTGATATACCCTTATAATCGTCATTTAGGTTTTGTTTGGGACAGCTTTCTTACTGTTTATTAAAGTAGTTTTTTAGTGCATAAGTTTTGTACTAAGTAGCTTTAGTAAATAGTAAGAAAATCATACCAAACAAAGCCTTCAACAAATTGGGCTTTATTTTAAATCAAGTTATTTAAAAAAAAAAAATAAAATAAAAAAAAATAAAAAAAAAGTTATTTTTAATAACGACACAATTTTTTTAGGTATTTTAAGTAATTAAAAACAATTACCACCACCTAGTAGTCGTTATCGCATCTATGACCATCACCGCAACCTCGTTGGCGACTACTGCTACCATCGCATATGTTAGCTTATTTGAAATTCAATAAACATAAAATTATATTCATTATTCAAAATTTTTATACAATAGCCAAGAGTTTAATTCATTCATTCATCACTATCTTTAACTCTTGACTACAAAAAGATAAAACTAAACAAAATGCATAAACAAAATAAAATTTGAATCTCATATGTATCTTCACTCTAATACTTGATCCTGACTCCTTCCTGAAAATTTGTAAAACCACCGAATGAGCTGACACTCATAGCTATGCCTTCCAAGTTCTAATCCTTTTAAATAATAAATATTCAAACTAAGGCTTCTCTTCCTCTCTACAGTACATTCCCAATAGGAACTGCACTCAAAAGATTAATTTTCATAATTCATCTTAATGGTGTAATAGGCAACTTGTTAGGTGCTTTATCATTATTGTTCATGAATAAGCTTCATAAGCATAGTTCTTTCTACTAAAACCAGCATATAATATATAACTTCGTATGCATAATTCGTTAATAAATTCCATCAAATCCTCAAGAAATCAACATATCACAGAGCATTATGAGGCACCTCTTCATATATATCCAATTCTCTACAAATAATGCTTATTCACTACTATAAAAAAAATTGAAGGGTGATATCAAATCGGTCTATTTTCGGCGTCATATACATAGTTAGCAGCTCCGTATCAATATCAAGGTCATCATCACTATCATCAATATCGTCACTATCATCAATAAGATAACCTTTAGGCTTGTCATCCAGGAACTTGTTCGGAAATACCGTAATGAAAGGAACATAGGAGTTTGTCGCTAGGTATTTGACCTAACAGGATCGTCCAGTTCCTATAGAACCTATCACTAAAATACCTCTAGAAGGGGATAGGGCTAAGCGGTGCGAAAAGGGTTTTCGGGGAATGAAAACTATTAGCCGTTTGCACCAGCAACAATTTTTAGGTTTCATAGTTAAGAGATAGGTTCAACTTTTAAAATTCACATTTGCAAATGTACCCATCCATCTGCGAAGAACATGTATTCTGCATAATTTTATAACCATCCCCATCATAAGAAATTTCCACTGCATGCAATACTTTTTACATGCCTGGGGAGTCCATGCTTAATTAAGAGATGGGTTCCTCCCCAACTATTCTTAAACAAAAGATAATTATGAAATTGTCCTCTAATTAACTTGTCTACTGCAAAAAATAGTTTTATTCCGGTAGATAATCATGCAAAGCAGAAACAATTCTTGCATGTTTAAGATTTAGGCTTCGTTTGGAGCAGCTTTCTTATTGCTTTCTGAAACAGCTTTCTAGTATAAAAAATTCTAGTTCAAAAAATTTTTATACTAAAAAGTTATTTTTAAAAGCAACAGAAAAGTTATCCCAAACAAAACTTTAATTTGAGACAGCTTTAGATCACTATTTTTTTTTTCATATTTTTAAGAATTTTTTTTAACTACAAAATAGCTTTGCAAAACAGTAAAAAGCCGTCCCAAATGAAGCCTAAA